TGGTTTGCATTCACAGATAAATCTGACCTGATGCTTAGAAGCTCAATCTCAACAAGGCTCGAGTTCGATTGAGAGTTCTAACAATCAGTGATCTCTAATTTCAACAAACCTACTTTCGAAAATATGATGAAATTTCTGTTTCAAACTAGCTTGTAATTTCAACAAACCTACTCTTTATTCAGTAATTATAAATTCTGAAATTTTAGAAAAATCTGTAGTTTCAAATTGATATACTCAGAAAAATCTGTAGCCATTAATCAGACGCCATTAACATTAGCAGATCTGTAGCCATTAATCAAAAATCCCTAGCTAAGAGTGTACCTCGCCGCTCGTTGAGGATCGTCGAGGATCTATGGCCGCTAGTTCGATGGAGAGAGAGAGAACTATGGCTGCTTGATGGAGAGAGGAGAACTCGAGTGCTGCCCCTCGCCGCTCGTCGAGGATCGCTGACGCTCGCCGATGGAGAGAGGAGAACTTAGCTTCGAGGATCGCTGCCGCTCGCCGCCCCTCGCCGCTCGAGAGGAGAGAGAGAAATCTAGGGCTTCGTTTGAGAGAGACGAAGGGTTAGTCGGGTCTGTAGAGGTTCACTTGGGTAAATTCGGGTTAGATGAGTGTTAGACGGGTCAGTAGACGGGTCAGTAGATCAACCCATCTAATAAACGGGTAAATTCGGGTTGACCCATTTATGACACAACCCATATAACTTGACCCATACCCAATATAAATGGGTCGGGTCGGGTCGGGTCGATGGGTTGGGTCATAAATTGTCACCCCTACCTAGAAGTATATATGGGGCTAAAATGAAGAATGATTATTTTTCCTTCACGTACTACAGGGTTCAAACCTCATATATAAGTGATTTCATACGTCCAATACAAGGTAGTTATCCCTGATAACTAATTCTAGTATACTTGTTTCTCATTTACTTCAACAAAATTCGAGAAAAGACAAAAAAGAAAAAGAACTACGTATTTTCCTCCTCTAATTCTAACTTGGTTGCATCTTGCATGGATGTCTTGTATTTTTCTTTGGACTAACATCATTATCTTGAGTGGTCAATGTCACAAGAATTTGTTAAGGATCATCTTCTTCAAGTGCACTGCCTCAGTGATTCTCTATTTTGGGAAAGAAATATGGACTAGTCAGTAGTTAGTCAAGCAGAGACAAGGAACATCTTGCATTAAGATTAAATTTCGTGTTCATGGTGCCTACCTACGTGCGTCCTTATAAATGAAAGGAATAGTATCTTTGATTCTTATTTCTTGCTATAATACAGCCTAAACAATGACAATGTGTGCACAAGGAGACTTTTATATAACCAAACAAAGATGAGTGAATTAAAAAATAAGTAGGTAATTTGATTAACGCAGCATGTGGGAGAATCTTACGATGCAAGGTCAATGAGAATGTGAGGCCAAATCAATATACCCATAATTATGCCACATATTCAACTGTTATTTTAGTGCATATTCCCAATTCCCAAATGGTCAAGTACATTCTACTTCATGCATTTCATCGCCACAGTAGAATATACATGTTATACCTTAATGGGCATCAATGCCCATGGTTTGTGGTCCAGAGGAAAAAAAACGTAGTTTTTTGCTTTAGTGCAACAAAATTCAACACTAAAATGCACACATGTTAGGGTGAGTAATTTTTAATTGGATGCAAAGAATACCATTGTCCTATTAAATGTTGTTGGGGATTGTAGTCTCCACGCCTACTAGGATTTTCGCAACTCGAAAGCTAACCCACAATCAATAAGATAGAAAACAACCGCAATCAAGAAGAAAGAACATCGAGATTTACGTGGTTCGGTCCACCAACTTCGACCTACATCTAGACCTGTCCATCCGGGCCGGCCCGAGCCGGACCGGAGCCCGGACCCGGACCCGGGTACCCCAGGCCGGGTTCCGGGCCGACCCGGTTTATTTTCTTATTTTAATTTTTTTATCAAATTTTTAAAATTTTATTTAAATTTTAAATTATAAAAAATGACAAAAAATTAATCAATAATAATAATTTTATTAATCACTTAAAATAACATAAATTACAAATAAAAAATTATAAAAATAAATTCTTTATTAATAATTAATAAATTATTTACAAATTATAAGTATAAATTTATTTTGGAATTCATTGCATCACAATAGATAAGTACATCCCAACTAGATTTTTTTAAATTTTTTTATTTTCTTTTTTTATAAAAAATGCTAAAAATTAGTTTAATATTATTATATTTTATATAATTATGTATTAGTATATACTTACAAATTATTATGTAACTATATATTATATGTAAATATATTGTATATATTTATAATTTATAACTTGAGAGAGAGAAAATCGCATAAGTAGCCATTACCCTAAAAATAAAAAAAATAAAAAAAATCAATCCGGGCCGGGCACCAAAGAGCCGGCCCGGGCCCGGTCTGGAGCCCGGACTTGGCTCGGGTTTCCGGGCCGAGGCCGGGCCAGGCCGGGCCCGGGCCGGCGAGCTTTTTGGACACCCCTACCTACATCCATGGGAAACAATACGAGAAACACAAGATCACCTTATTATCAAATCACGTAATTATCTCCTCAGATTTTCACTAACAAAGCCAACCAAAGCCTTCTTGAGAATTCATCCAAGCAACTCCAACTTATCGCCGCCTGCTCCTCTCACTGCCAATCCCTCTCCTCGTAAGTCCTTTGCCAGTGCAAGCCCTCTGCCGGTGACTAGTTGCACGTCCTTGACACTGCGACTCATAGCTGCGGTCGTCTGCATACTTCACCGTCGGACATTGCATCCCTCCAGCACTCTCTTTAGGCCGATCGGCTGTATCATCATCCCTTCTCTTTTTTTTATTTTTCTTCATCTTGATTCTTGTAACGCCGCCGATCTTTACTTTTGTACGACGCCTATCTTACGAACACGCTCCCGGATCCATCATCGTCTCTATGATACCACTTATTGGGGATTGTAGTCTCCCCGCCTACTATGATTTCTGCAACTCGAAAGCTAACCCACAATCAATAAGATAGAAAACAACCACAATTAAGAAGAAAGAACACCGAGATTTACGTGGTTCGGTCGACCAACTTCGACCTATGTTCACAGGCAACAATACGAGAAATCTTCTATGTATCAGGGAGAATTACAAGAGGAACCACTCAACTCTCGTCTCTCAATCTCTCAACCTCATATACATAATCAACTTTCATATTCTCTCTAAAGTCCTATCCTTACAATCTTTTGAACGGATAAAGACTATGAAACCCTATCCTAATGATGTAATCTTCTGCACGGACCAAGACTACGTAACTCTCGCCTCTCGCACAATATTCTTGAATCAGGCTACGCCCTTTACTAACCATAGATTACAAGAATATTGACTCTTTCTCTTCTGCTTGGTTTTCCCTCCAACAATAGAAGAATATATATAGGAAAACCAAAAACCCTATCTCTAGCTTAACTTCCTAAGTAAAATAGGATTCAAACTCCTAATCATGATAAGACTCAATTTCCTAATCATGATAGATCTCTAACTCTATATCTAATTCTGTTGAAGTTATGCAAAGAATTAAAGGCACAATCCCAACAAATATCACAGTATTTTTTTGTCCCTTTCTATACACTTGCGTAATATCTCAAAAGAAATGTAGGTGGTAGATAAAATTACGACACTAAACGACACTCGTAAGAATTCTGGAATTTTTATATAGGGAATTTAAATGGAAATAGAACCATTAAGGTGACACCATGAAAAATTTAAGAGTTCTTTTTCTCAACCTCACCAAACATTTTTGGTCCCATTATAAAATTTTAACTGTTAAACTTGGTCAAAATTTCAAATTAAGTTTTAGTACAATAAAGAGAGAGATGAAGATGGTACGGAAGCAATTCAGGTATACATATAGGCATTGGATTTAAAGTGACCAATTCTAATAAGCATTTGCATGTAAATTGGATTTTAATAAGTATACATTTACATAAAATAGTCTAAATTTTTATCGATAAAAGGGCGCTCAATTTATGTTAGTTTGAACAACATAATCTAAGACTTTAAATAAAGTGAGTCTACAAAATGTTATTAGAATGGTGGTTTATGCGATTATCATTATTTATTTATTTATGTTAGACACACTTATCATTTGTTTATTGATCAAGCAAAAAGGAAGGAGTAGGAAGTTTGATAAATATAATATACATTTCACTCCATGATATTTACTCACTTGGGATCTGATCCTGATGTTTCCAATAAAAAATATGCACACCAAAGCTGAAGACGTAAGTATGAACTTTTATTTAATCTGTATTAGACGCCAGACATCTATACGCTATTAACATACTCAACACTTGATTGGATTTGGATCGTGTCCAAGTCCAAACCCCTTACAGGGCCTGTTTCACTAGTAATAGTTGCCGACGCCACCTCAAAAGACAATGATATAGTAATGAACAAAATACTAACCCTGTTTATCTTTGAATTCAGAGAAAGCATGGTTCCCTCATAATTATGTCTCAAATCTTTGTTATACTCAAAACACCAAAGGACACGGTGTTCATTTCATAACATACATAAAAAAATGCATGAAGATGCGGTGGTTATTGATTGTGACCACCGTTCTCTCTTTTGCTTTGACGTTGATCCCCTCTTCCCCTTTTCTTTTCTTTCCCCTACTAACTCTCTCACTCAAGGGGAATAATTCCTACGCTCTGGAGTCTGGACCCTCTGTATAAAATTATATAGCAAACTAAAATAGTTGATGAAGATACCATATCTGGCCTAACGTCAATCTAATTTTAATTGTGGTTATCATAAGTCAGATTATGCTGATAGATGATAATTACGTACATATCAGGTTTCACATTAGATTCTGATTGTATTAGACCTTGTGTCTTCATTCTTGATCATCCTAAGATGGGGCTTTTTTTTATTATTTATAAAGGTCTCTCTATAGGAATTTTTTCCCTCATTCAATTTCATTCCTTCTCCTTTCACTTGGACCCCACCTAACCTCCTTTCTCTCTCTCCCTCTCCCCCTCCTTATTTATCTCCCTACTCCCCCCCTGTGCTGCTATGCACCAATCACTAGTATTTGAGAGTGAGAGAGATCGAGACTTGCGTTTCTTCTTCATTTGTTGAATTGTGCCTTCATATTTCTCCTCCCTACTCCTTCATAGGCCACTTTATTTTTCTGTCACCAATCAATAATACTTGAAAGAGGAGACTCTTGGTTTCTTCTTCATCATTTGAATTGAACCCCCCCAGTTCTGATATAAAGCCAATTATAGTGGAGATCCGTACTCTCCCTATACACCACCTAGCTTTCTTAAACCAACCCGTACGAAGAGAGGGGAAGAGATTCAAATTTGCCTATCTTCTTCTTCATTTTTCGCATTTAAGCCTCACACTGCAAACATGGGCAACTATAGGTTCAGGCTATCTGACATGATGCCAAACTCTTGGTTCTACAAGCTCAAAGACATGAGCAAAGCCACAGCACATAACCCTCCAAAGAAAATCCTCCACCATCCAAAACCAACATCTAAACGACCAAAGTCATCTTCATCCTCAAAGCAATTCCCTCCACAAAGCCAACTCTACATCCCGAATAGAGCCTCCTACTACTTTCCGAGCAGGGTCAAAACAGAGAAAACCCCAGTTTCTCCTTCTCATCATAAAGCGTTGGACACCCATTTCCCTATTTCCCCACCAAGAAAATCCAAGAAAACAGCCCAGAAAAAGCCCATTAAACCCTCTCCACAACCTTCATCAACCGACATAATCATCGACATGAAAAGCTTAAAGCCCATTCAAACAAAGCCCACGAAGACAATCGAGGCAGAGATCGACGGCAAGCACATAATGCTGAAGAGAGCTCAGCAAGGACTCCATCGGATCAAAGTTAAGCCAAGCTCACCCAAGGTTGAGATAAAGAACTTGCAGGCTGGTCGATATCGAAGAATGGCGAATTCGAAGAAATTGGGAGAGAGTTTTGCTGTGGTGAAGAAATCTGCAGACCCACGTAGAGATTTTAGAGAATCGATGGTAGAGATGATCGTTGAGCATGATATCAGAGCTTCCAGGGATTTGGAGGAGTTGCTTGCTTGTTATTTGTCATTGAATTCAGAGGAGTATCATGGGGTGATTGTTAAAGTGTTTGAAGAGATTTGGATTGATCTCACTGAGGTTAGAGTTTAGTGATTAAGCGTGCGGGGTGGTGTTTTTATCTAGGATATGTAATTGTAATTGTAATTGTAAGAAATTTAGTTATAGTTAGATTATATATAGCTATATTTATTAGATTATTGTCTCTGTTTTTTTATGTTTGTCTTTCTTTTTTAAAGTGTGACGGTGAGGTTTTGCCAATGAGTGAAAGGGAAGCGCGGGGTCGCCATCTTAAAGCATTTATTTGGGTCAGCCGAAACGTAATAAGCAGTACCCCTATTGTATTTATATCACAACAGGGTCAAGAAGGAAATAGCAATGCCTGTTATGCATTTGGGATTGATACATAGCTGTATTTTTCCTCACATCAAAAGTTGAATGAGGACATTATACTTTTCTTCGGTGTATAATATAGACTTAATTGAAGTATCAAGACCTCTTAACAGGACAAATTTTCAAAACCATTCTATTTAGCAACTTAATTACAAAAAAACGATCTATTTGCAACTTAATTATCAAAATCAACTCAGTTTCAGTCAGTTCGCTAAAACTGGGTCGATTTTGATAAAAAAAATGTTACGAAACTTGTTAGTCTAAGGTGTAGACCCAAAGTTCGAGACAAGAGCTGAAATCAAAAGGACAAGAAAACGAGCAGACAGATCCACGGTAGACCGGGTCGGTCGACCGCGAACGTGCACAGGAGCTGGGAGAGCCTGGATCAGGTCGCGATCGACCGACCCGGTCGACCGCCAAAACCCTGTAGGAAAATCTGGTCTTAGGTTTTAATTGCGGTCGACTGCGCCGGTCGACCGCCAAACTCTCTGGAATCTGATCGGTCGACCGGGCCGGTCGACTGCGACGCAGTCAAACAGAATCCTGTTCTGTTTAGGAATCTGTTTCACCCAGGATTCTATATATACCCCAAACGATTTTAGGGTTTGAACAACATCAAAAAGAGAGCTTTTTGACTGCAAAGAGAGAGAGAATCTCAGAGAGATTAATCCCTTGTTTGAGAGCTTGTATTTTCTTCTTCAATTAATAAAGAGATTGTGTGGTGTGGCTCCCGAGGACGTAGGCACGTTGCCGAACCTCGTTAAATCTGTGTGTTCATCTCCTTTACTGTTTTTTGCAAGTTAGATCTTTATTTGTGGTTTTATTCCTACTTTCCTACTTTCAACACAAGGTCCGGAAGGGCAAGGGTTCGATTGATTGTTTCAAATCCCCGACAAAACTTCACGGGACTTGAAGTCCCGTGAAGTTTCGTAAATTATTTTGCCGGTTGAAACTAGGTCGATTTTGGCAATTAAATTCTAAATGGGTCGTTTTTTGCAATTAAGTTTCTAAATAGGTTGGTTTTGACAACTTGTCCTCTCTTAACAATACTTTAATTTCACGTGACACCGAAGCGATAACTGATAAATACATATACTTGAGAAATTATTCTCATTGGACATCAGGGCCTAAGAGGCAATGAAAAAGTTAGGAACAATGAGTGGCTAGCTCGATATTGTATTGGAGGTGTATGTGCATTTTCCCTAAGACACTGAGAACTCCGGATTCGAGAGAACATCGATCAACTGTCAATGATGAATCCATGAAGGGGAAAACATAAAGACGTTTTTGTCGATGGTTAAAAAAATGAATATGAAACATATATATCTCATTAGTAATTTCCAAGTTGATGATTACATTAATTCATGTACTTATTGAATTGATTTATAGTTTACATGTGTCTCATCTCCGTCTCCCTTCTATGATTTTTTTTTTTTATATAGGCGCGTGTATAGTATTTTTGGAATGAAGAAGTCCTTAATGCTACTTGCGAGTAGTGAAAAGTAGAAGGTAATTTCGACTGAGTTCATCCAACTTACCCATGAACTATTGAATATGTTGAAATGTGAGAGATACATAGTTGAAGCTTTGAATGCGATCTTTGTTGATTTCTGCCCATAAGGGACACTGAATACGACACCCACAATTTGCATTACTTCTATCAATTTCTTTTACTCAATTTACACATATCAGCCTTGGAAGAAAACAAGTACGTACTCAAACATGAGCAAGGAACATCCCCCGCACGTGAGCATCATCTGACATGTATAATTCCAACCTCATCCACAATTTAAAAAAAAAACAAGAAGAGAAAAACAAAAAAGAAAAGATGAAGATGCTTTGAGAGCTTCAATTGGTTACCATCCAAAAACTATAGGATATTTCTCTATTTCTTGGCAAACACCAAGACCAATGTGAAAGTGGCTTTTGTGAACCAACCCCAATTGAAGAAAGTGAAAACATCAAGATTCAATTTGAGAGCACCTATCAAAATGCGAATCCAAGTAAGCTAGTTACAGGCTTTTACAAGTTGCCAAAGTTTAAAAAGGTGAACTTCAGAGAATCATGAAAATAGAAACATTCTTCTGTACAAAAACGCGGATTGTGGCTTCAGCAGATACCCATGGGCATTCATTGTTAAGAACACTGTGTTGTCATTCTCATAATATAAATTTGTGTGCTTTTAACTTAAATGTTTTTCCTTTAAAAAAAACTTGTATGTTACAAATTTGGAGTATTTTTTCAGTTCAATTTGTGGATTAACTCTAGTGTCTTGCATTGCAATAATAGTTATACAGATGTTCACTTAAATATGTTTGAATTCATGACTCAACTAAGCAGTCTGATGTGGCTCTATTCATCTATAAATTATTAAGCTGATAAATTATTTCCGCTAGACAACGATTAAGTTGTGGCAGTGTGTTTGACTAGTTTCTAGACATTCAGTTCAATCTATTGGCTCTTCTAGCAAAGATATGAGATGAATTGTGTCATACATTAGGGGCTATTTGATTATTTTATTGTGAGGGAGTGTGAGATCATTGGTTGGGTTATTTTGAGAGTTGTTTGAGAGATTGTAATCCGTTATTTCTCCTTCATATAGTGAAATATCATCATCCTCTCCTCGTGGACGTAGGCAATTGTCGAACCACATAAATCTCTGTGTTTGTGTGTGATTTTGACCGTTATTTTGGGAATTGCACTTGCGTTTGGTTCTTCTCTCATCGCTCGTCGACTCGTTTGGTTTGCGAACACGCCTCCGCACGGCGCCCGACAAGTGGTATCAGAGCTCAGATTTTTAAATCTAGGATTTTGAATTAGATGCAGGAAGATTCGCTGCTGGAAGCTTGAGTCTTGGAGATCTAGGCTTCGGTGGAGACAACATTACAGAGTTGTCATTGGAGATCTCACTTTCCTCGTGTGGCTAGGAGATCGTGTTAGAATACTATCTAGGGTTTAGTTGGGTAATTTCTCAATTCTATCAAGTCCAAATCTTTCTTTACAATTTGGAGTTTGCAAGCAATGGGAGAAGAAGTTAGTGAAAGCAGCAAGGCGATGACGAGTATAGTTCAGGTTGCACTTCAAAATACGAAGATCAGTGTTGTGAAGTATGACGACAACATCAACTTTGGTTTGTGGATGAGTGATGTGCAAGATGCACTAAACGTTCAAAATTTAAAAGAGACCATCATGGTCCATGAGAGGCCACCGAAGAATAATGAGGTGGTATGTGACAAGATAAACCGAAATGCTTGTGGAGCAATTAGATCTTGTTTGGAACAAGAATTGAAGTATGAAGTGATTGGTGTGATGTTTGCGATAAAGATGTGGGAGATTCTCAACAATAAGTATCTTACGACGAGGGTTGAGAACCGTTTGTACTTGCTGTGAAGATTGTTTAGATTCCAGATGTTCAGGGGTACCTCACTTGCAGATCATGTGAACAACTATACAAAGTTGTTGTCCAACTTGGCGCACGTTGATGAGAAGATAACGGATGAGTACAATGTGATTATTTTGTTAGGCTCCTTACCCTATAAGGAGTATGATACATTCGTACTTACTTTGTTGAACAGTAGATCTTCCATCACCTATAGTAAAGTGACTAATGCATTGACGAATTACGATATGAGGAGGAAGGACAAAGAGACTTCCAGAGCTAGCACTTTAGGAGAGGCATTATCGATGAGATGAATGATTCCCTATCCGAGAGGTGGTATTCGAAGCAGGTCAAAGTCAATGGTCCACTACCAATTATCGAAGAACTAGTGTGCTTTCTACAAAGAACAAGGGCATTGGAAGAGAGATTGTCCAAAGCTCAGAGAGAAGGAGAATAACAAGAAGAATGGCCCGAAGGCCAATAAGGTGAATGTTGCTAAGAGTGGTAATGATTCTGATGATTCATTCTTTTCTTTATTGATTACTGCAGAGGTTAACCAAGCGGATGCATCGAATTGGATGCTGGATTCTGGTACTACTTATCATGTGACTTCCTGGAGAGATTGGTTTGCATCTTTTGAGAAGCTCGATGGGGGCGTGGTAATCATGGGAAATGATCAATCATGTGGCATTTGTGGGATACGTACCGTCGGGATTCAGATGCATGATGGAGTTGTTCGAGAGCTGAATGAAGTGAGATTTGTTCCTCAGTTGAAGAAGAATCTTATTTCCGTTGGAGCTTTGGAGGCAAAGGGATTCAATGTGACTTTTGAGAACGTTGTAGAAAAAAGTTACTAAGAGATCTTTGGTAGTGATGAAGAGAGTCCGCAGTAGGAATCTTTATTATCTGAAGGGGGTACCGAGATTGGCTAGGTAGCTTCAACTGTTTCATAGGCGGACATGAGCAGACTTTGGCACTACAGATTAGGACACACAGGTGAAAAGTCACTGCAGACACTGTGCAAGCAGGGGCTATTAAAGGGAGCCAAGAGTAAGAAGATTAAATTCTATGAGCACTATGTTCTTGGCAAGAAGACAAAGGTGACGTTTGGGGCAGCCGTGAAATTACCCTAGAGGGGGGTGAATAGGGTAATATGCTAATCTAATTTGATTTAATGCCAATTTAAAACTTATTAATAATTTATTCTTGCAAGTATGATATACAACTAATTATGAGCAAGAATATGCAAAATAAACAAATGGTGATATAAACATAAACTAAAATACAAATGAGATAGTGTGTAAATAATCAACACGAACACACAAAGATGATCACGGAGTTCGGTCCTTTCGACCTACGTCTCCGTTCTTCACTCTAGGGGAGAATCTGCTATCACAACAGGTTTTCAACGTTCATCCAAAACGTTTACACTTCACAATCAGTTTTCTAGCCCACCGAAAATTTTCACAATCTCACACACTTACAATCACACTCTACACCCTCTAAGTATTAGCCTAGCTCATGTTGCATTCCTCAAGTGCTCGGATTTATAACCTCTCCCTAGGCTTTACTACCGATGCCACTCCTGTTT